TGGGCCATCAGACTCATTATTGTACTTGAAAGGCTGGCTGTGGGTGTTTTCCAGAGAAAGCCCATTTGAAATATAGATCTCTCACTAATATTCATAATGTCAGATTTAAAAAATACTACATACAACTAGGATAATCATGGTCAGCAAATCCTGTCTTTTTCAGTGACTCTCACATGACTTACCTTTTACAAAATGCATCACAGTCATGGCTTAATCCTATCATCATATCACTGTGAGGAATATGGGGTACAGTGTCACAGAAGTACTTTTTTATGTTTGTTTTAAATCTTTTGCCCATAAATTGCCTTGGAAGACTTCTGGTTCTTGTGTTATATGGACAGGTAAATAACACTTATTCACTTCCTCTGTTCATTCATAATTTTTATAAACTTCTATCATTCTCCCCCTTTAGTCATCTCTTTTGTAACCTGCATAGTCCATCTTTTTAATCTCTACTTCTGTGAAAGAAGCTTTTCCATACCCCTAGTCATTTTTTCTGCCCTTCTCTGTATTTTCCCAATTCTAATGTATCTTTTTTGAGATGGGGCAACAAGAATAGCATGCAGTATTCAAGGTATAGGCATATCATGGATTTAATAGCATTAGAAGATTTCTGTCTTATTCATCCCTTTCCTAATGGATCTTAGCTTTCTGTTAGCTTTTTTGACTGCCATTGCACATTGGGCAGATGTTTCTGTAGAAGTATCCAAAATACAGACATCCCATTGACTTTTTTTCACCAACTCTATACCAGCTCTACTTAGTTTTAGTAGAATTTATATCTATCTACACTGGCCAACAAGGTTGAGTGAGTGGGTAGGATGTGGTATGTAATCAACCAATGCATTGTGCTTTTTTCTCCATCTGCATCCCTGAATATTTGTCACTCATATTACTTGCATTGTCATAGCTTCGGCCATGACGACCTGATGTCAATCCCATTTTCAGTGAGGAAATTGAGTAGGTATGAGGCAATTTTTTCCCTTGTGTGGCTGGTGATGTTTATGAAGATCTTGAAACAGCCAGCTGGCCTGTTGGGTAGCACATAACACAAGACGACAGACACCTGAGCTACACGTGACACATCCGGTGTTGAGTCAGTAGATACTGAAAAGTATCCCACATTTATGATCTCATCTACAATGGCTGATAGTCTTCTTTGCCAGTAGTGCAACAAATTCATTACAAATAATCTTGGATAGATATGATGTATGGCCTTTTCCATGATTTGCATATTCACTGATGTGATAAGTTAAGAAAGAGTTGAACTTTGCAATTAGCCCTAGAATGCCAAGGTAATTGTCATTGTGTTTTGATCCAACAGTCTCTTCTGAGCATGAAAAGGCAGACCACACTTGGCAAAAAAACCTATGGTTTCAACTATGAGTCTGAATATGCACAAGCTACCAAAAACGGGTTTTCAATATCGGTATCAAATCTGCCACTATCTTTTGGGCTCTGTAGTTGCTAACTGACATTGTATGCTGCTCACTCACTGCGTGATTGGAAGAACACTGCATACGTTACCAATCACTGAAGCCTTCACAGAACATTCCCCATTTTTAGGTATCAGAAAACAGGAGGCAATAAAAACAGTACACTTTCTTTTTGAAAGGTGAATAGATGAGCCATTTTCTCTTGCCAATCTATTCGTTAGGCTTCACATATTCAAACATTGATTCTGATTGGCGTACTCTCGCTTTTGTCAGTGAAAAGTCAGTACAGTATTTAGATTCTGGCATTTTTGTGGGCCCTTCTCAGTCCAACATACAATGAGATCTTGAAGTCATGTCCCACTCACCTGGATCATTGGAGAAGGATATTTTTATATTACCATCACTGGAAAAGTCTTCAGAGAAGTGAAGTGAGACTGCAGTTACAGAAGTCAGAGTGACAGGAGGCTGCTCCTTTTCATTCCACAGTGCCCAGTGACTGAAGGTGATACCAGGCATCATGGGATGCAAACCCACATTGCTTTGCTCTTTCTGTCAACAGGGCAGCTAACAATTTGGCCATGATACATCGAGGATGGCAGTATAAACATGATTTGGTGACTTTCATTTTGGAAACTAATTTCATCTCCAAAACGTACCAGCGTAGACATATCCTCAGTCAGGATTAGTAGTCTAAATGCAGCTTCTCAGTTATAGCACTCAGATCTGGATTCTATCTCTAATATTAAGCTAAACAAAACCACTATGTACAAACAACCCAGAATTTTAAGAATCAGTGGAATTAAGGCTCCTAAGTGACTGAAAATTAGTTTTAGACTTCTGAGTCACTGAGGCATTTCTGAAATTTTACCCCAGACTGATCTTCAGCATAACACAAGCTATAGAATTTCACTCAGTAATTCCTTCATCAAGCCTACACCTTTTGGATAGATTCCCCCCCAAATAATATAGTCTATGTATTTCCCCCCCCCCAAACAATATAGTCTATGTTCTCACCTAAAAATGTCCTTGGCTTTCCACATAACTGAATGTTGTAGTTCCTCACCTTGCCCAATAGCTCTTAAAGCAAACTTGACCCCAACAGCGCAATATTCTCTCAGCTTTTTGAGCTGCATGGAACTGATGCTCAGTTTATTGCAGTGTTGTTGTAGCTGTGTTGGTCCCAGGATATTAGAGAGACAAAGTGGGTGAGAATTTCTTTTATTGGATCAACTTCTGTTAATGAAAGAAACAAGCTTTTCAGATTACACAGAGCTCTTCTTTAGGATGTTTGGTTTAGACATATACACAGAGTACAGCAAGCACCCCATCAAGCTATAACAAAGAGTCCTAGAGATGGTCTGCCCTCACTCACTATCCTACATTAATGATAGAAATGTAGCCGTGTTTGTCTGGTGTAGCTAAAACAAAATACAGGACTATGTAGCACTTTAAAGACTAACAAGATGGTTTATTAGATGATGAGCTTTTGTGGGCCAGACCCACTTCCTCAGATCAAATAGTGGAAGAAAATAGTCACAACCATATATACCAAAGGATACAATTAAAAAAAATGAACACATATGAAAAGCACTTTAAAGACTAACAAGATGGTTTATTAGATGATGAGCTTTTGTGGGCCAGACCCACTTCCTCAGATCAAATAGTGGAAGAAAATAGTCACAACCATATATACCAAAGGATACAATTAAAAAAAAAAAGTGAACACATATGAA